CCCGGGATCCGAACCCGGGCCACCAGCATTGCAGCGCGCGCACTTAACCACCAAGCCACAGGGCCGGCCCAAGTTCTTGTGTTTTAAAAAGCTTTGTGATCTTAAAGCTGCCAGCATATGGTTTCCTTTACTGGTGTCCTTGTGCAACCTTTGTAATTTAACTTTTCCAGTCTGCTATTTGTTTTGTTTTTTTTTTATAATTTTTTTTTTCCCCCCAAAGCCCCAGTAGTTAGATGTATGTCATAGCTGCACATCCTTCTAGTTGCTATATGTGGGATGCGGCCTCGGCATGGCCGGAGAAGCAGTGCGTTGGTGCGCGCTCGGGATCGGAACCCGGGCCACCAGCAGCGCAGCGCGCGCACTTAACCGCTAAGCCACAGGGCCGGCCCACCAGTCTGCTATTTGTAATTTAACTTTTCTCATTGATAGTGAGATCTTCAAGCTTGTTTGAATTATGTTTAAATTGAGATAAATGGACCCTGAGAGGGAACTAGAGAGGCTCTCAGTTAAAGTAAATGAGTTTTCATGCATGACATCTAGGACATCTATTTTTCTCTTCCAGAGTTCTTTAAATTCCACCACCCCCCCCAAAGCCCCAGTAGATAGCTGCATGTCATAGTTGCACATCCCCCCAGCCGCTGCATGTGGGACACGGCCCCAGCACAGCCAGAGAAGCGGTGCGTCGGCGCGCGCCCGGGTCCGAACCTGGGCCGCCAGCAGCGGAGCGCGCGCACCCAACCGCCAAGCCACGGGGCCGGCCCCCAGAGTTCTTTATATTCTTTAGGTGTTAATGTATATATAACAATATTGAATGATGTAGTTAAGTTTTGAAAATTATAACATGAATATACCGTGGATTTTTAGGTTTCATAATGAAACTACTATTAGGTTTTCAGCTACTTTTATTATAATTTATATAAATGAGTGTAACTTGATACTTTTGTTACTATTTCATAGTAATTATTTCTTATCATGTAGGAAGATGAGAAGTTTTTGTCTGAAGTTTTTGCACAATTAACAGATGAGGCTACAGATGATGATAAACGGCGTGAATTGGTAAGTTATTCTTGAAACAAATTGTTAAAGAACACTTACTCTTTTGGCCTACACAGCTTTAAATATTGAATTTGTTAACTTAGAGACAATTTTTTGTAATTAGTATGAGATGAAAGATATGTATTTAAATTATGCTATAAGAATGATTATTTTCAGAGTTTCTAAAACTTACTGTTTTGTATATTTTAGAAATTTCTTAACCATATTTTGATATGATTCCCCACCCCCCCGGTGAGGGAATCTGTGTGCCTTATAAATTTCAAAATTAGATAGGTGTTTTATGTTAGGACAGAACTACAAACTCATACATTTTTATGGTTGTAGATAATCACATTATAGAGATGCTTTTCTTTTTAAACGAGAGGTAAGGAGAATGCTTCATTAATAAATGAATGATAAATAATTTGGTTCTTGGAAATGTTTTTTTATTTCAAATGTGTTTGTAATCACTTTATTGAGATATAAACCATGCTTTAGGGAAAGAGAGAAGTGATTGCTGTTTACCAGCAGTTTCTCATTTTTTCAAATATTGTAGATACTTGGGTTTTAAGAAGTAATGAAAAATTGCTGACTGAAAATCAGCCAAGTCATCTTTAGTGTAGTTATTTAGTAATAGCCTATCTCATTTATAAAATTAGTCCTTTAGAGTCGGAAATCTCTAATGTCCTTTCCAATTCTTAAAAATTGAATTGGACTTTTGAGGGCACCCTGGGAATCCATCCACCATTTGTTATAGCATGGTTTCTGTAAAAATGTGTGCTCTAATTTATTTATTTTTTTATTTTTTTTGTGAGGAAGACCGGCCCTGAGCCAACATCCGCTGCCAATCCTCCTCCTTTTTTTCCGTTTTTCTCCCCGAAGCCCCAGTAAACAGTTGCACGTCATAGTCGCACATCCTGCCAGTTGCTGTACGTGGGACGCCACCTCAGCATGGCCTGACAAGTGGCATGGGATCCTATCCCGGGCCGCCAGCAGCAGAGCGCACGCACCCAACTGCCAAGCCACAGGGCCAGCACCATGTGCTCTAATTTAAAATATCTGCTTTACGTGGGATTTTTACACCTTAATCGTAAATTGAGAATAGTATATATATGTGTATGCCCTCTGAGACTCCACATATACTGTGTACACTGTAATGTCTTTAGAGAGTTAATTGTTCAATGTTTGAGAAATAATGCAAGGTTTACTTTTAATGAGATGCTAGTTTTTAATATAGTCTTTAATGTAGGTTTTGAGGAGCAAGAATACCCTAAAAAGTCAAGGTCCTTGAGAAGGGTGAATTCTGTGCTGTGGTAGATCACACTACAGTGTGCCTCAAGTTTTCTTTTATGTGTGTCAGTTTCTAACTATACTTTCTAACATTACAGGTTAATTTTTTCAAGGAATTTTGTGCATTTTCTCAGACATTACAACCTCAAAACAGGGATGCATTTTTCAAAACTCTGGCAAAGTTGGGGATTCTTCCTGCTCTTGAAATTGTAATGGTAATTACACAGCTTCATTTCATATTTTTGAATATGTGAATTTGTAATAGATTTATATTGTGGGTGGGAAAGTATTTATTATAGTAATGCATATTGAATTTTAGAATTTAAGTTATGACTCACTTGATAGTGAATTATTATAAGGGTGTTTTCAATCTTTAGAATCTTGTTAACTTAAATTTGTTATATTAATATGTAATCACTTGCATATAATATGGCTTCAAGTGAATAAAAATGCTAAATTTTTACAAGACTGTTATCTCTTATATAATAATAATAAGTATGTTTCATAGAAACTGTAAAATATCTTTCCTTTTTAGACCAGTGAGTGAAGTGAGGGCAGACTGGACCAACAGGGCTCATGCTGCAATATGGGGTTAGAGCAATGGTTCTCATACTTTTGTTTTTGTGAGCTTTATCCATTGGTATTTATTTTGTGAAAAATTAAAACTGAGAAAATTAAGTATATATTAATTCATTTCAAAATAATAAAAATCAGCCCATTCTATGTTAACATAATACAACTTTTATGAACAATAATTTATCCAAAACAAAAACAAATTTATAAAAGTGGCATTCTTTCACATTTTTTGCCAGTCCATTTAATGTCTGGCTTAATAAAAGATAGTTAGATTCTCACAGCAGTTTCTGTGTTTAATTTGTTGTGATATATCACATATCCTATGGCCTCTGGAAAACCCTGCTGTACTTGTGATAGACTAAGAGTGGAAAAGGCCAATAATGCCTTAGTATTATTTATTATTATGAAAATAGTTTTAATCTCATGCACTTTCTGAAAAGGCCCCTTGCCAGGATTTCCTAGACCACACTTTGAGAACTGCTGAGTTAGGGACTGTTTTCAGAATCACCTAGAAATTTTATAACTTACAAATCATGTATCCTTCATGTGTTGAAGGGGGAAAAACATTCAGGATCACTATCTTAGAAAACTAAGTCGTGAGAAAGAGTGAAAATACCCAGTGTTTTCAAAAGCATCCTCTATATGGCGGGATGAGTCGTAAACTAAGGAGTAACTAACTATGGCAAATCCGGGGCCAAAGATAGATTCTGGAAAGTGTTGAAGCCTTAACTAGGAGACATCATTCATGTTTTTGCATATATTTAAGTCAAGAATCCTACCCCGAAGAAAATTTTTAATAGCATTTGTAAAGCATTGCTTTATAATCCTGTGCTGATTCTTATATTTAAATTCTCTGAGTATTTATCTTTGTGGTGGTAAAAACTGGCAGAAACTAATCATTAAGCTGCCTAAAAGTTTTTAATATTTGTAAAAGGAAAGGAAGAAAAAGAGAGGTTATATATTTTGATTCCAGTGCAATGTCTAATTCCAAAAAGTTGGAGATGTACACAGATTTGGGAAAGAAAAGAGTGACACAAGCATAACTTTCGTTAGCTGTCTCTAAGTAACCTAATTCTTCCTTTATCAGGGCATGGATGATTTGCAAGTCAGATCAGCTGCTACAGATATATTTTCTTATCTAGTAGAGTTTAGTCCATCCATGGTTCGAGAATTTGTAATGCAAGAAGCCCAGCAGAGTGATGACGTAAGTAATAATGCACTGGTTCTATGAGAATTACTTGTAGTGTAGTGTTTACAAACTATTGAGAGAATCGGCATAACCATAATTTTAATCTTTTATAAGCAAAATAATAGATTTCTGATCAGCTGTGACTTTGGCAAGCCCAGAATATGTGGCAATTGATTTGTTTCTTGTAAAAAAGAGATATTCAAACCAGTATTGAGATAAATAGATTATAATGGAATGAAATTCTTAGATGTTGGTCTTAAAAAAAGTTTCAAGTGCTAATGACATGTAATTTCAAGCCCTTAGGTCAAGCGTTTATCTAGAATAACTAAGAAGTTTTTTCACTAGTTCAAATGTGTATATTTTTTTAGTAGGGATGAACGTTTAATAATGAGACCAATGTTGTGTTTTCCTACTACAGAAATATTTAAACTTTCCCCTTAAACTGTTTTAAGAATAAAATGAACATATAGCTGTAATTTAAAATACTCTTTCTTATATTAAATATATTTTAGTCTTAAGTAGAAAATAACTAAAATATAATTGTCTCTTCTTAAAAAAAGGTTTTGATTCCCAATGTTAATTTAATTCTTGTATGAGTTAACTATTGAATTAAACTATATTTGTTTTATGTTTTATGTTTAATTTCTTGATGTCTATACTTAGATTTTTATGTTCTGTCTTTGTTAGATATTTCCAATGTTTTTTTTAAGCAATTTTATTTTAGAATCAGTTTGAGTTAATGCTATACTTGAGGGACTAGAAAAGAAATAGAAGAAATATTTGGTGTTAAGTATATTTTAAGGTTTTTTTTTAAACCCAAATGATGCTAAATCTGACTTAAAAGAAATATACCTAGTTTATTAATCAGTTTATAGTCTCGCTGTTGACGTTATCTTAGTGCCATCCTTTACAAAGATAACTTTAAAGATTTTATTTATTCATTTTCTTCCCCCCAAAGCCCCAGCAGATAGTTGTATGTCATAGGTTCACATCCTTCTAGTTGCTGTACGTGGGACTCGGCCTCGCGCTGGACGGAGAAGTGGTGCCTTGGGGCGCGCCCAGGATCCGAACCCGGGCCGCCAGCATCAGAGCGCGCGCACTTGACCGCTAAGCCACGGAGCCGGCCCCAAAGATAACTTTAAAATTAACACTCTTATTGCTCCATCTTAAATGATATATGTGACTAAACGCATTCATCATAAAATCTCTCAAACCATGAACATAGTGAGCCACTAACGTTTAGAATTCTTAACTCTTAAAGCTTTTATTTCTGTTTTCATTGGAAATAGTTCCTTGTTTACATTTAATTGATGCATGAGACTTAGAGAAGCAGTTACTGATTTTTAGCTACGACAAGTCTTTCTCAATTTCTCTTTTTCTTATAATCACAGTCTTCAAGGTCGTTTAATTCCCTGAATTTCTGAGATCTAAAAATTTTACAGTTTAAAAATTTTGTTGCCTCAAAATAATTGTTAGCCCACAAAAGGTGATAAGTTGTAATTTTTTTTTAATTTTCAAAATTAAAGATTTTACATGCTGAATTGTACTATATTGGGTCAATGGTAACCTTCAAAAAGAAAAAATGCTTACTATGTATTAAGTATGTAGTTGATATTTTGATGCCCTTTTAAAATAAATGCATAGCATTCAAACTTTTCTTTCTAGTGTTATAGAGCAGATTTGGTTTTAGGAACATGGACTACAGTATTAAAATATGTGTTGAGACACAAGGAAATATTAACATCTGGTACTATAGTCATTATTTCTATCCAAGCTAGAAGGATAGATTTAGCAATAACTATTGTCTTTTTGTTATGCCACAGATTTTACATGTTTTTATGCTAATGGCCTTTGAAACATTTAGTAAAACTTATTTTAGAATCTGACTCGATACGTAATACAACTATTACTGAACTACTTATTTTGGCAGGTATTTTCAGTGTATTTATCACTTAGGAATAAATTCATATGTTAATTTTTAGATATGATAATAGTATTGAGGTTATTTTTTTGAGTTCTTTTTAAAGATTCTTAATGAAATATTTATAGAATTATGTATATGGAATTTGCTTCAGAATAATTCTGGAGGGTGAAATTTGCCATAGTAAGAAGTTAAAAAAATATGTAAGCTAATCTCTGTGGGTTAACTGTTCAATATTTTATATTGAACATATTCCATTTTATTTCTTAAAATTGCATCAGTTTTTTAATTTTTAATTTTGAAGTAATTTTAAATTTTTACAGAAAAGTTACAGTAATAATACAAATAACTCCCATATACACTCCATCCAGATTTCCTAATTGTTAACATTTTCTCTCTCATTTGCTTTACTATTCTTTTTCTTTGCTTATGTTTGTATATACATATTTACATACATACTTATTTTTGTTCTGAACCATTAAAGAATAAGGTACAGACATGATGGCACAATGCCCCTTTACCCTTGTTTACTTGAATGTCTGTGTGCTAAAAACTCTACATACATACAGTATAATTATCAAAATCAAGAAATTAACATTTTTACAATACTATTATCTAACTACAGTCCTAAATCAGATTTTGTCAGTTATCCCAGTAATGTCCTCTTTAACCAGACAAAAATGAAAAGTTTCTGATCCAGTATCCAACAATTTGCATTTGTCTGATGTTTCCTCATGATTCCATTCAGGTTATTTCTTTGGGTGAGGAATGGTACAGAAGTAACGTTGACTTCAGTGCATCATATTAAGAAATTCCCCTAACTTTAAAAAATGAGTTTAAATTTTTGTCCAGGCTGTTTTGCCATTTCACAGACTTAAGGAGTTGGACCATTAAGTTCTGCAGAATTTTGAGGAGCTATTGTTGCTTTCTTCTAACATGTCAGAATGGATTGAAAGAGGTATTGGTTCTGTAATACTTGTAGCCTTTATTCAAAGTGAGCAAATTTCATATGCATAACTTTTTTGTGTGTGTGTGAGGAAGACCAGCCCTGAGCTAACGTCCGTTGCCAATCCTCCTCTTTTTGCTGAGCAATATTGGCCCTGGGCTAACATCCGTGCCCATCTTCCTCTACTTTATATGGGACGCCGCCACAGCATGGCTTGACAAGCAGTGCATCCGTGGGCGCCTGGGATCCTAACTTGCGAACCCTGGACTGCCGAAGCGGAGGGCACGCACCTAACTCCTGCACCACCGGGCCGGCCCCTGCATAACTTTCTTTTTAATTCTTACATTTATATTAAGAAAAAAACTGGAAATGTTTTCATAACATGCATCAGTTATTTTTGTTCTCCTTCAGAATATTCTTCCTGCTCTTGCCGTTCTATCTTTCTTATCTTATTTACTATATTCATGGAATCTAAGATACACAGATGCTAATATTTTCTTGACCTTGCCAGAAAGTGTCAGTGGAAAATTTTTGTGCAACTTTATCATGATTGCCACTTGGCTGATAGTGACTGTCTAATGCCATAGATTATAAAATGTATCTCAATGTCAAGAAATTAAAACTTTTAAGAAATCTATATTAGAAACAATGAAATTAAGCGTGTTCTTTATCTTTCCCACTCAGAAGATAAAGATGCCAGCTGATAATCTGGATAATCTCTGAATTCTATGTGTAGGTACCCAGAGCTTGCACTCTGTCGCTAATTACTTTTGGCAATCTTGCAAAATTCTTAAACCCACTTAAATGTACTTCAAGAACAAAAGTATGTGTTTCTAAGAATAGTATGAGGTGAGTGTGATGAAACCAACAGGAGTGTCGTTTCTCTAAAACTTTGATTTAGAAACAACTAAAACGTAGAAATATCTCCCAGAAACTGTGGTTAAACTCACTTAAATGTTGCTATTTAGATGAGGGATGGCAAACTTTCCTCAAAGCACCAGAAGGTGAATAAGATTTGGTGGGCCCTGTGATCTCTGTCATGACTCTTCAACCCTGCCACTGTATTATGAACTATCCATAGACGGTTTGAAAATGAACAGATGTGGCTGTGTTCCCGTACAGTTTTACTGTACAACTTTATTTACAAAGTAGCCAATTGGCCAGGTAGTTGCCAACCCCTGACTTAGACCCTTTCCTCAGAATATTGCAGGTAAATGGTGGTGGCACTTAGATGCTCGTTCTGAGTTGAAGGTTGTAATTGCAGAAGCTACTATGGCGGTGTGATAAGAAGTAAAACAAAGAGACCATAGAAATAAGCAGACATCAGTGAGGAGGAAGTTGTTGGGCTCTTTAAGACTATAAATTTAAGAGAGTGTTCTCTAGAATAGATTTTGGTGCCCCAGCATTGGAATAAGTTCACTGGGGTTACTCTATAATGGTTTATTTTCAGCTCCATCCAAAGAAGAAATTTTCCAGTAGTTTGTCTTACATGTTCATTATTTTGCTGCAGTTGCTTGGGAATGAGTTTTCTAGCCAGAGTAACGCCATTGTTGGAGAAGCAGGTTGTGGAAAATTAGATTTGTACTTGCAGTGTTTTAATGCCAGTGAAGAACTCTAGCAGACAATTAGAGATGCTGACTTGAATTTTGAGAGGGTTGTCCGACTTTAGTGATCTTCTGTTCTATTCCCCTTGTTGTGCCATTGGAGAAACAGGCATGGAAGAGTTAATGTCACTTAGATAGCTACTCACTGGCAGTACTGCAGTTAGAGGCTAGGTCTTTTGATTTAGCTATTTCTTCTGTTCATCAGGCTTGCTCTATTGTGTTAATTAAGAAATGAAACATTCCTTACAGACAACTTATAATGCTGATAATACTTTTAGTTTATTGATGAATGTCCAGCCATTTATTATATTGCTTAGGAACTATTTGTTCATTATCTCTGAAAGTACGTTATTACTTTTGAGTGGATTTAGTCGTGCATTGTAGCAGACTAATTTTAATTGTTTACTGAGCTGAGTATACCTCTGGGATAAGATGGTATTGCTATTCTGTACTGCTCTGTGCAACATAACCTCTAGATCCGTGGTTAATTGCACTATTTTAGAAGTTGATTTTTACTTACTTTAGCAGAATCCAGTAATTCAAT